ATAGAATTTACAACACATAAGGAAATCACATCAGATTACCCAATCATACAACACTGGGAATCATGACCCAGCCAAGCTGACACATATTTTAGGGGGACACAACTCAGTCCATGACTGTTGCTTATGATATTATCCTTATCATTGAGGAAACTAAAGCCCAAAGAATAATATCTTGCCCAAAGTCACACAGATAATAAGTGGCAGAGCTAGGACTGTGATTTAGGTAGTTTGAACGTATAACCTACAAAATTCAACCCTTACACCATCCCACACATCTTCTTATTGATGATAACTTATTCCTGATATATTGGTCATGTGTGTTAGCTTAAAGTAAAAGCCGTTCACACCTGCTTCCACCTCAATACAGATTTCATTGTGGCACTTAAGAAAAGGTGATAATAAGAATAGAGAGCGACATGAAGAGTGTGCTTCTTAGCTCAAGTAGATACATGAGATTAAATGAGCAGCTCTTGTCCGGAGGTGAGATGACACGGCAGAGAGGGTCAGGAGCTGCTTGAATGCACGCAGTTAATCTGGGATGGAAAGGAGGAACGTGCTGTCACAGTATAGGGAGAGCAAGTAGGGTCACAAAACAAGGTATATATAAATTTTTGTATGAGAGACTAACTTGAATTGTAAACTTTCACTTACAGCACAACAATAAAAAAAGCTCTAAAGAAAAGAATAGAGAGAGAAATTAGCTTTATCATTTCTTTAGCTTGCTGTCTAGTTTATTTCATTTCTGAATAGATTTTGGATGGTGCTTGTTATGAGCAGGTTGAATCGTCACTGAATTGTTTGTCAGTGTCAAAGACACTAGACATCTAGAGCAGTGCTTCTTAATCTTTAATGGGCATATGAATCAATCACCTGAGGATCTTGTTCAAATGCAAATTCTGATTCATTAGGCCTGGGGTGGACCTGATAGTCTGCGTTTCTAAGCAAGCTCCCAGGTGATACGGATGCTCCTGGAATATGGTCCATGCTTTGAGTAGCAAGGCTAGAGCATTGAATTTTTCCAAACTGAGAATAATGATTTACCCTATGCCAGCGGTTCACATTGGAGGGAGGGCATTTTCATATACGAAAGAAAATTTAAGGAGTTTGGGAAGGATCAACACTTGTCAGAGAGGAAGCTCAGGAGATAAAATCTGAACTACAATGGACTTTAACAGTCATCTGGTCCAGTCATCCAACTGAAGCTTAATCTTCTCCCATCCTTGCCAGGTCATCTCAGCCCTGAGTTTGAAATTATCTGTGGTGAGTGGAATTCACCATTCAACAGAACGAGAGAAATTTCAAGACAGTGCCTGAATCACAGAAACAATCTAAGAGAGAGAGACTAGGGGAAGATGTGATGATGTCTCACACCTGTTTGGGTAGACACTTGCCTCAATAGTACCTTTATTCAGAGCCTTTGGATATTTACTCAAAAGCTTCCAAATCTTACCTTTTCATTTTTAAAAAAATGCACTCTGCCAGAGAACCAGCTGGGAGTGCTTATTCCCCCGAGCACTTGCCTCCTGCTGTGAAATAAAGATTTCAGCACAGACTGGCAGGTGAAAAACAGTGACAGCTGTTTGGCAGCTGGGCTGTTTCTTGGCTGTGCTGACAATATGTACCAGGGTCCTTGAGACAACAGATATTTTCAAGAATCAGGCATCATGAGACCATGATTTGCTTCTTCCTATTTTGATCTTGCAAGCTGAACCAAAGATACTCCTATTGTTGGGTCTTGTGATTGGGGGATGCCAACTTCTCTTTTCCAGCCACCCTTTTCTCAGTCTGTTGTTTTTGATAGTTCCTGTTTTCTGTTCCAGGTGCCAGGGGAGAATGAGAAGCAGTGGAAGCCAGCGTTGGTTGTGCTGACAGAGAAGGACCTTTTAATCTATGACAGCATGCCCCGGAGGAAGGAGGCCTGGTTCAGCCCAGTTCACACATACCCTCTTCTTGCCACCAGGTAGCCATGGTGTTGTTTTGGGGTATGGGCTTGTTTGCAGTTCAGTACTGTTTTAGGCAATTAGAATTATTTCAGTGCATTGTATTATTGCTCACTGTTGCAGCAGGGGCTGAGAGCTCCTCAAGCATACTGTTGTCATCGTTCTTAGCTGCCGTCAAGTTGGCGTCTGACTTATGGTGACTCCATGGACAACAGAACGAAATGCTGCCCAGTCCTGCACCAACCCCGTGATCAGTTGCAGATCAGACCGTTGTGATCCATAGAGTTTTCATTGGCTGATTTTCAGAAATAGATCACCAGGCTTTTCTTCATAGTCCATCTGGGAGTGCTGCTAAAACCTGTTCATCATCATAGCAACGTGCAAGCCTCCACTGGCTGACATGTGGTAGCTACGCATGAGGTACATTGGCTGGGAATTGAACGTGGGTCTCCTACATGGAAGGCGAGAATTTTTACTGAACCACCAGTGCCCCCATCTTCAAGAGTATAGCCACACATTTTTAGCCATATAGATTATCATTTATGTTATTTATGGCAAACGTGAGACAACACAGAGACAGAAAAACAAGTGTTCATATTCATCAGGGAGCAGTGATATGTGTGAGATGGTCCCTGTCTAGCCACCTTCCTGGGTCTCCATACCACACCCCTTTGAGATGAAGTAGACAGTGTGTGTATACACTCAAGAAGTCCAAGCAGATTCATTAAATAAGGGGCTTCCCTTGGTGGCTCATGTGACCATGGGAATGTTCCACTAGTACTTTTTAAGACTTGTTCAGCATGAGAAACCCACAAGTTCTTCTTCAGTTAAGTAATGACAGTGGGACTGCCAGCATCTGTCTGGTTTTTAGGACCTTCAGAACACATTTATTGTCCATGTGAAATACAGTGTTAATGTATCATATACTTGTCCCCTCCTTCAAAGGACTATTTGCTGAGCACAAAAGCAAATCAGACCCGACTCTTGCCATCAAGTAGCTGGCAGTTTTTAGACCTGGTAGAAGACAGCTCTTTCTCTATGTGCTTTATGATAATAGGCCCAACTTTTATCACTTCTATAGCTTTGTTTCTTTACTTATATTTGTGGCCTCCTTAGCATAGTACTTGGCAATCGCAGGGCCTAATATGTCTGTTGAATGAATTATTGAGTGATGTGGGGCAAACTCTGGAAGGAGTTTGGTACAACTCCTATTAGTATTGCAATGGACTTTAATGGTCATCTGGTCCAATCATCCAACTGATACTTGAATCTTCTCCCATCCCTGCCAGGTCTTCTCAGTCCTGAGTTAGAGAATTATCTGTGATGAATGGAACTCAACATTCAATAGAGCAAGAGTAATTTCAAGATAGTACCTGAATCACAGATGCAATCTAAGAGAGACAGACTAGGGGAAGAGGCGGTGATGTCTGGAAGAGAGTTATTAAGCAAGTGCTCCCAGGAGAAACCTGGAAGGAGGTAAGGGAAAAATAGGGAAGGAAAAGAAGTCAAGGAAGGGTCTAGTTTTAGGCAAAGTCTTGGCCTCAGCCTGATCCTATAGGGAGTTTGAGAGCTGTGCTGCACAGTATGGTAGCCACTAGTCACATGTGGCTAATGTAAATTAATTTTAAATAAAATTAATATTTCAATTCCTCAGTTGCACTAGCCATATTTCAAGCGTTCAACAGCCTCATGAGGCTAGTGGTTACCATGTTGGATAGCCCAGACCAAGAACATTTCCTGCATCGCAGAAAGTTTTATTGGACAGCACTGCCCAAGAGCGTGACTCACTACCTCAGCATTTGTCCTGACTCAGCAGGTAACTGGGCTTGCACCCTCCTACAGCAAAGGTTGGAGAGAGGAGGTATGTCTAACCTCTGCCCCACAGGAATCAGCCTTAGACTGCTGATCTTGATTTTCCTTCCCCCTCGTGAAGTTAGAGTATTGCCAAGTGGAAACCCCAGGTTCTGCTCAGTGCGACTTGTCTCAACCAACAAAGGAGAGACTGAGGTGGGAGAACAGAAAGGTGCTTTTATTTCATTGTGCAAGGAAAGGAACAATCAGGGCTGTTGCTGCCAAGGTTGCTCAGCGAGGGTGAGAGGCAAGGTTACTTTTATGGGGTTTACAAGCAGAAAGTTCATACAAGTTACATCAGCAACATTCTTAATCATACTACACAGGTGCAATGGGGTTTACATATAATTTCATGCATCGCATGTTCAGAAAATGGCGGTCAAACTCTACCCAGAGGTGGGGAAATTACTGTGTATGAGGTACTTAATGAGCTTAAAGGTTATCCAGAATGTCAACATGGCACCTAAACTGGTTTCCACTGATTTTCTCCAGTTCCTGGTAGCAGTTAAGGAATGGGGAGCCAGGATGTTAATGTAAAGCTACAGGGTGTGCCAAGTAAGCTGCTTGAGGCAGTGGAATTTTCCACAGCCTGAGCACCTCTGTCTTAAGAGGAGGTCAGACACCCCTGCCACACCATTCTTACAGGTTTCCTAGGCTGTAATCTTTACCGAAGCAGACCACCAGGTCTTTCTCCCACAGAGCCACTGACTGGGTTCGAACAGCCAACCTTTTGGTTAGCAGCCAAGTGCCTAACTGTTGTGCCACTAGGGCTCCTTTGTGGTCATTTAGACCTGAAGATACCAGATAAGAGTTCAGGATCTACAGTTTAAACATAAAGGAGACACAGAAATAATAATTGCCCTCCCAACTCACTGTCCCCCCAAATTACCCAGCCTGACCACTGAGCTGTAAAATGAAAACTTGTTATTATATATGTATATTACTATATGAGCAATGATAACCCTAGACTCATAATTATTACCCTGGTCTCCAGCTGGAAGCCTGTGAGGCACAGTATGTTCAAGGTGTTAAAGGGACACTGGATGTTCGTTCTTACTTCGTCCCCCTTGCGCTGGAAGGTAACTTGCTGTTTGCTCCAAGCAGCAGCCTGGAAATATAAGAGCTGGAGTTCCCATCCTGGTCCTTCCACCACCAGAATGTGCATAACCCAGGCTCATCACTCCACCTCTGTCGTTTAGAGCCCTCTTCTGGTAAATGAACTCAGCCCAGTGTTGTCTCCAAAGCCGCAGGGAAATGTACCTTGGTGAAATACGTCTTAACAGACCCTTTGGCTTGTGTACCAGCCCCCATGGTTTGCTTACTCTGGATGTGATCAGCTTCCTTCCTGACGCTGTGGATGCACCCAGAAAAAGACTTTTTGGAAAGCAAACAAACAACGAGAAAAAATGACACAGCCCTTGCCTGTGTAATGAGGCTGGGGAGATGTACACAGTCCTTTTGTAGCTCCAGGCTGGGCTTCCGAAGGAATTGTTACGGAAGGTAGGGTTCGCCCCTGCTGAAGATTTAAGCAGTTCTACTCTTGCAGAGTCGGGATCTCTCCACATCAATGGGGTTTTTTTAATTCTTGCAGATAAAGCCCTTTTCCTGAGGTGGGGATCTGGACAGAGGCTGTTCATTTATGGCAATGGGACTACCTTACTCTTATCTTCTCAACATCCCAAATATGGTTGAGGTCAAAGGGAAACCCTGAATCTTTCCCTTACAGAAGTCATCCAGTACCTCCTGGGCTGCTTGCCTAGCCAGGTGTTTAAGCTCATCAATGAATCTTTCTTTTGCTTCCCATGCGTTCTGCACAGACAGCATTTGGGCACATTGCTGTGAAATTGCATTATTTGTCTTTGATTGTATATTTCTAAAGAAGGAAAGCCATGTCTTTTTGTTTTTAACACTTTTTTTGAGGTATAATTTATAGATAGTAAATTTATAATATAAATATGTATTTAGTAAACAGTAAATTTACTATTTATATTTTTAAAAACTTACATAAATAGTAAAATTATATTAATATAATTTGTAAATAGTAAATATTGTTGTGTGTCGGTTCCAACTTATAGTGACCCTATAGGACAGAGTAGAACTGCTTCATAGGGTTTCCTAGGGTGTAATCTTTATGGAAGCAGATCTCTAGGTCTTTTCTCCCTCGGAGCCACTGGTGGGTTCAAACCATCAAACTTTCAGTTAGCAGCCGAGTGCTTAAACATTGTGCAACCCTTCCCCCCAACCAAAAAAAAAACCAAACCCAGCCTGTTGCTGTTGAGTCGATTCTGACTTGTAGCGACCCTATAGGGCAAAGTAGAACTGCCCTATAGGGTTTCCAAGGAGTGGCTGATGGATTCAAACTGCCAACTTTTTGGTTAGTGACTGAGCTCTGAACCACTACACCACCAGGGGGCTCCATTGTGCAACCAGGGCTCCTTAAATAGTAAATGTTGTTAGGTACCATCAACTCGATTCTGACTCATAGGGACTCTGTGTACAACAGAAGTAAACACTGCCTAGTCCTGTGCCATCCTCACGATCACTGCTATATTTGAGCCCATTGTTGCAGCCACAGCGTCAGTCCATTTTGTTGAGGGTCTTCTTTTTCGTTGACCATCCGCTTTACCAGGCATGATGTCCTTCTCCAGCGACTGGTCTCTCCTGAGAACATGTCCAAAGTACGTGAGACGAAGTCTCACCATCCTTCCTTGTAAGGACAATTCTGGCTGTACTTCTTCCAAGACAGATTTGTTCATTCTTCTGGCAGTCCTTAGTATAGTCAATATTCTTTGCCAACACCATAATTTGTAACTAGCACAAATCTTAAATGTACGTTAGATTAAATTTTATTTATGGCTATAAAGCCATGTCTTTCAGAATTTTATTTTAGGGTGTCTATTATTTAACCATCCTGGTGACATTATCATGGGGCCCTGGTGGCGCAGTGATGAAAGCTCTCAACTGCTAATCAAAAGGTTGGCAGTTCGAACCCAGCAGCCGCTCCGCGGGAGAAAGATGTGGCAGTCTGCTTCCATAAAGATTTACAGCCTTGGAAACTCTGTGGGGCAGTTCTGTTCTCACCTCTAGGGTCACTATGAGTAAGAATTGACTGAATTGCAGGGGGGTTTGGGTGACATTATCAAGAAGGCCATGGTAATGCCTTTTGCAA